ATTGGGCATCGAGGTGTATTGCGCACCTTAGACGTCTGACCCCGTTCAAAGGATGTATGATCCGATGGACACCGGCCCCCAATGGATTGCGGTTTCTCGCACATCCCCCCGCTGCCTTGCGAGTCAGGCTTTGGCTAACCAAAGGCTCCAGTTGTGGATTCCTCAAGAAGAGTCACCTGCCTTGACCTGGGCAACCTGGCAGTATTCCACCCACATGCAACTCATGGAACGTTTTTCTTTTTCATGAAGATTATTGTGCCATGGTTTATTTGGCACATAGCTTTGATTCGGAAGTGTGTGAAAATAATAATGTTTATAATGGTGTCATTACCCAACGAAAATGCAGCAACGAGTTCCTGCCAATCTTGCAACAACACTGAACTTCGAAGGTACAAAGTACATACCATAACGAGTAACCTCAATTGCCAAACGATCCAACGACTCTTGAATCGTTCATGCGTTGTTACCGAGTACGGCAATATCATCGGCGTAATAAAACGGACGCTAGCAGTTTTGGAGCTATTGGAATCATACTTATGCCCCTGTGGTTGGAACAGGCGTTGCGACAGCCCTCCTTGTAGATGGGTGTAACAAGCGATTCTCCCCATGTATGGGGTACACTTTCGGTTTTCCAAATCATCGAGAACAGTCTCGCGCTCTCTCACGAGAGCTCAACCATCTTTAAAGAGGGCAGATCGCAGGCCGTCTGATCCAGCTGCATTGTGGCGTTTCAGGGTTTGGAGTTCTATTCGAATCTCTGTTCGTGTGGGCGGTTCCGTGGATATTGACCTGGGTGCACTCTCAGGAGAACTGCTTGGGGTAACCAGCGCGGGGGCTGGTTGAACTGCGATATGACGTGCCCTGCTCAGCGTTCCAAGCGTCGGTAAAAGCTATATTGGCGGCCCATCTACTTCGCAGATTGTTTCACTAATGCACTGTCATTTGAAACCCGTAGCACGGATGAGTTGGAATAGTTGCCGGGTGTTTCTACTCCTAGCTGCTGATTCCATCTCCTTTGACCGTAGCGTCCGCCAGGCTTCCCGGTCGTCTCTCAAACTTTTTGTTGGTTCACGCTTCAGAGAGAAACGCTGTTCATTATCATTCATCCCGGTCTGCCGGGATTGCCCGATGCTCGTCAAGTAGTCCGAGAGAGTTAGTGGAGATCCAGTGATGTACAACTCGGTGGGTTGGGCCACAACTGTGTGAACTGGCTGAGTGCAATGCGTTTCGAACGGTTGTTGGTGAGATAGCAGTTAGCCTTGCGGTCGACTCGTTTTGGTAATCGACTAGCACGGCCGGGTCAGAAAGCCTGGCAACGTCAAGCTGTTTGCATCTAATCTTTTTTCGGCTACCAAATCGCATAGACAACTTGGCACATACCAGTGCGTGGTCGGGTTCCAAGCAGGTAGACCAGTACGAACGGCAGGTTTTCACACATCTCCATCTATAGCTAATTGCTATATGATCAGTCTGACTCCACGTCTGTGCCGAAGAGGGGTTACGCCAGGTGGCGAGGTGACGCTTTGGGTATCTGGCGTTCGTGTTAACGAGGAATAGACTGTGTTCTGAGCATATGTTAAGGACTCTATCCCCATTATCCGAACGACAGCTATCAAGGCCATGGTAGCCACCGAGATGGGTTTCATCGGGTGACAGACGACCAATGCATACGTTTCGGTCTCCGGTCAGGATCACGATATCCGTCTTAGGTGCTTTAAGAAGAAGCTCATGTAGGTTGTGATAGAAGGCGTCCTTAACTGTATAGGGGTACCGTCTATGGGAGCGTATGCAGAAACCACGAATAAACTTCCGAGTTTCAATGCGCATAGTCGTCTATCTATCGGGATCCAATCCTGACTTATCGGGGAGTTATGTGGTTCGCTACTTGAAGTCTCGAGGATTAGATTGCCAGTTACCATCACTGAACAGCAGGTCTTCTTGACTATGAAGTCCGCCCCGTCTGCTGTTCATCACACACTGATGTGTAATAAAAAAGCCTCGGCCCTGGCGCTTAAGGCAATACAACGCCTGTTTGACTAGACGTTGATGCGATAGGTTCCCCGGAAAAGCGCACTTGAAACACTTCTTTTGGGTCGGAAGGAGACGGTAATCGAATCACTGAGCTCGGATCCTTAACGCGTTTCCGGGATCTCTAGATTTTCGAGCGTACTAGCCAAACCTGCTGGTTGTTCTATACGCATTACGGTTCTAACGTTGAACGAAGCCAGATTGAAAGCAAAGTGAGGTCGGAGAAGTGGGCTTCGAATAACAAGGCATTGCTGAGACAGATACCAAGGAGGATAGCGGCTAGTTATAACACGAACCTACGTCAATGAAACCGTTTGAGATGATATACACGGTGAAAAAATGGAGGGGATGTGGCCAAATGTCCGGGGTACCAGATTACCCTTGAGTCGCGTACTTGCCGGTGAGCGTCACGATGGTCAACTTCAAAGGTTAACTTTGGGGGCCGTTTCGGTTACGCCGAGGATTGGTGCCACTATGAGCTTCTTACGTCAGGTATGGGTGGTCTGGAATTAGAGTTTAGTCAACTCCCCAGGAAAATAGCCGTAAGTGAAGTAATTAAGGAATCCGATGGTACACTGATTCCCCATTAGGAACACCGTCTTGATCGATGCGCTGAACACTTTGAGGCTCAAGTCAACTGGCTCCCATCGACATCTGACATATCAATCCCTACATCGATTGGGCACATACTCCCAGTTGATGCCATTATTCCATCTGAAGTGGAGGTTTCCCGGGAAATAAACCATCTCAAAAGGCATAAGGCCTCCGGCTCAGATGGGCTGTTCCCATTGGCGTTTAAAGATGGAGGTTCAGCTTTGGTCTTGGAGTTGACGAAACTCCTGGATCCAAGTTCCGAAGCTCAGGTTACCAGTTTCCGTGACGGAGCAGCAGGTCTTCGTGACTATAGGGTTCGCCCTGCTTGCTGTTCGTCATACAAATACAAATGTGTGTAGTAATAAAAAGTATGAGAAAGGGTTCCAACAGAATAGTGTGAATCGGTCGTCATACCGATCTACAAGAAAAGCGACAGGTCCTCCTGTGAAAAATACAGAAGGATTAGTTTAATTAACATTATCTGTAAACATCTCGCTGGGATCATACTCCGTCGATTGCCTGCCGCATGTGAACGGTGCCTGCGTGATAACCAGGATGGTTTTAGATCAGGTCGAGGTTGTATCGACCACATCTTCCCTCTTCGCCAAATTCTGTAGCACGGATATTCTTTTCGTAGACCCACAATCTCTGTCTTCCCCGATTTGAAAACGGCCTTCGACTCGGTCGACCACTCTAAACTCTGGCGCTGCCTTTCCCTGAAGGGAGTGCCCGAGAAGTTAATTTCAATATTACAATCCCTCTACAATAATAGTCGCAGTCGAGTTTGAGCTTACCGCACATTTTCGCCTGAGTTTACTACTGAAAGTGGTGTTCGTCAGGGTTGCCCTCTCTCTCTCTCCTTTCCTGTTTCACTTTGCCATAGATTTGATTATGGAAAGCCCTATCCTGGTGCGAGGATAACGGCACCGATATACTTCTAAGTGACAGACTGTCCGATCTGTAGTATTTAGACGACATTGTACTGCTAAGCGAAGATTCAGGTAAGTTGCAAGCTTTTCTGGATAGCTTGAGTGCCAACGTATGCGTTTTGCACCTTTAAGGTGTAAAATGTTACTTCAAGACTGGGTTGGTCCAGCACCCAGCTTCACTCTAACTGGGGAAGTAATAGAGCAAGTGGATTAGTTTTGTTATTTGGGCAGCCACATCTCACCCAGTGGACGCATCACGGATTAAGTGTCAGCTCACATACAGAAGGCTCGGTTGGCATTTGCCAATTTGATACATCTGTGTCGTTTTCGAACGAAAGGCCAAAAATAGTCTGAACACCGTTACTTTTACTCTTGTCACATATGAAATACCCACTACTTAAATTTTTCCGTTCCAGATTCACTATTTCATTGTTTTGGTCGACACTACTACAATCAATCAATCAGAATGACTGATGCGAGAGCTGTTAGTTTATTGCACACATTCAGTCATTGTATCCCCATGTTTAGGAGGAACGTGAAGTTTTAGAAAGTATATTCGATGGAGACGAACTCACATTTACAAACGAGTACACAATGGAATATCGGGTGCGTTTGTTTTGTTGTTATTTATGCTAAGAAGCTAGGAGAAACAGGCACACTTAGATCGTTAGTGCTCAGAGTCACTTGGCCTGACGGATATCCGGATATACCTCCCCTCATCTCACTGGACTCCTTTTATAATGGTCATATTTCGTCCACTGTGAAAGAGGCTATACTGCAAGACTTGAATCTGTTGGTCAATGAACAACTTGGAGCAGCCTTAACTTTCTCTTTGATTGATCAGCTGAAAGAAAACTCAGAAAAATATTTCGATTCAATTGATTTGGATCATTTAACACCCAAACAGTCAGAATTGGACGCCTGTGGTGCACGCGATGTCGAGGAAACTTGCTCTATCTCTCAAGAAGTTAAAAAGTCGGTGAAACGCGAACAGCTGACGAAAGCACAAAAAAGACGACAACTGAATCGTTTAGATGAGAATGGCGAACTGCCAAGGGGTTGGAATTGGGTCAGTGTTGTGAAGCACTTACAGCAGCACCCCCCTGAGGCGTCTGTTTAATATAAACTATCTAAATAGCGTTGATTTTTTGTTTATTTCCCGAGCCCCATTTTTCGATGGTCGTTCAAACAGGAAAAATATAGTCCCTAACGTTGACCGGGCCACAGGAATGGTTTCATGAAATATGCACACATGATTTTATGCAAAAAGTGTCCCACCTGTGATTCCATCATCATCCGAAAGATGCAAAAGGTGCATGTGCGGAAAGGGTTGACACTGTCACTACAGAACATCGTTAATTCCAATTACCCTGAATGTTAACTTTAATACTAAACAGAACAGGTCGATGGGAGGTGACGGAAACCTCCATTGAATGAATGTCCCGTGATAAACGACAGTGTTGAGTGTATGTAGTGTTATCGTTATAGATGATTCAAAAATGCCAAAACCGGTGTAAAAGTTGTCTCAGTTAGTATGGTTTCATTATCACTACCCAACTTGTCTGACATTTAAGCGAATATTGTAGACCAACCCCCCGAAATCCCAGTCAGTCCACTTTCGCCATTCCCGGTCAATTTCGTTGTAGACGAAATTCTGAAGTGGTCTCCCAAATGTAGGTATGGAATGGCAGCTGGAGAGGAGCTGTGCGATTTGGACTACGCCGATGACATCTTTCGTCTGTTCGAATGTATAGACGACGTGCAAGGCGCACTTGATAGAATAACAAGTGCTGTTGCCACATTCGGCATGTGCTTTGCTCCTTAAAATTGCAAGGGGATGCTGCTAGAGTGGGTTTCCCCTAGTCCTGCATTGAAACTAAATGGCCAGGAATGATTCATATTGTATTCCTTTTTCTACTCAGGTAGTTGTGTTACCAATAACGTTAACGCAGCAAAAGAGATGGCCGCCCACATTTCCAAGGCTCGAGCAATGCAGGCAGGTTTGAAACACCGTTGGCATAGATGTGATATTTCGCTGAAGTTGAAAAGTCGCATATATTTAGCTACCGTTGGTTCAGTTCCGTTTCATGGTTATAAGACCTTGAATTTGCGAGTAGAAAATGTCCATCGACTAGAAGTTTTCGACCACCCGTGTTTGCGTAGTTTAGCCTACGTGGGATGGGACGAACGGATTAGTAATCTGTAGGTAAGCCGTCATGTGTATGGGAGTTTCTTTAGGATAAACTTGCTAGCTCATCGTTCGCTCTTTGTTTGTGAGTAGACAGGCAAGATGCGGTATGGGTGAATTGCGGTATGCATTCATTCAAGATGAAATTTGACGGAATTGGGAGCGTGTTGAATGATGGGAATGACAAAGTGTCAGTTCTGCATGCAATGGGTGGTCCGGATCTGTGAGGATCCTCTCGGCAAATTTCACACAGGTAGTTACGTGATACTCGGAAAGCTTTACAGCTAATTCATTCACAGGAATGGAAGAGACACGACTAATAATGGTTAGACCGCGTCGTAAGGCTTTGAAGTCCTGTTTGAGTAAACCAGGAAAAATAACCGGGGAACAGTAGAGTAAGATGGGGAAAACACATTGATAAACAAAAGTAGAAATAACTGACTGAGATGNTGCATTCATTCAAGATGAAATTTGACGGAATTGGGAGCGTGTTGAATGATGGGAATGACAAAGTGTCAGTTCTGCATGCAATGGGTGGTCCGGATCTGTGAGGATCCTCTCGGCAAATTTCACACAGGTAGTTACGTGATACTCGGAAAGCTTTACAGCTAATTCATTCACAGGAATGGAAGAGACACGACTAATAATGGTTAGACCGCGTCGTAAGGCTTTGAAGTCCTGTTTGAGTAAACCAGGAAAAATAACCGGGGAACAGTAGAGTAAGATGGGGAAAACACATTGATAAACAAAAGTAGAAATAACTGACTGAGATGCGCGAAACTGCCTGAGCTTTCGTATTTGAAATGAAAGGCGTCGCAGTTTACCAGTGCAGTTGTGGATGTGGGTTGACCAATGAAGATTGCTATCTATGGTTACACCAAGATATTTGACAGAGTTCACCCTGGCTAAAGGATTGTTAATAATCATTGTGGGGTCTGTCGGATATGGAGAGCGAGCAAAACTATATAACTATATATGTCAGTGAGTTCTCTTAGGCGGAAGTGTCGTTCGCAGACGTTTCGTAGCCAAAATAGGCAACATCATCAGTGCGACTTCGGGGAAGCGTCCGTCCTCAGTGGGATCGGGTTTATATAGTTCTGTTTGAGGGCTTCGATTGGCCGATTGAACGAACAACACTGCCGTATATACAAAGAATCTCGGCAATGACAGCCAAGTTATTAAAACCATCATGAATTTTGGTTGCACACAAGAAAACGGCGACAGTGAGGGCTATCCTATGGAGACCAAAGGATAAACTGCCAAAGAAAGATTCTTCAAACGTCGTGTACAAATTAAAGTGCCGAAATTGCGACGAATACTACGTGGGACAAATCAGTAGAATACTCAAAACACGACTACACGAACGCACACCGACGGTCAAACGACACTAGGAGAAGTCACAAGTCTCACTCCACATAGATTCTGAAAATCGCGTCTTCGTACTGGACAACGCAAGAATACTCGGAAGAGAAAGCACCAAGTCACTACCGGAATTCATCGAAGCTTAACACTCCAAAACGGACAGTATAAATACAGAACTGGAACCAATCTACCACTATCTAAGTAAGCTCTGGTGACCTGAGGCTGCTCGAGCTAGAACCGTTTCAAAACCAGTTCTAACCATATTAGAACCGGTTTGCGGTTGGTCTAGGAAGGTCAGTGGACCAATAAGAAAGGATGGCCACTATGACAACGAAACAGCCAATCAAATCACAACAAACGGTTGCTATTGACCAATAGGATTAAAGAGATGTAAACAGCCAATCGAAACCATCAAACGGAACTATATAAGCCTGATCCCAATGAGGACTGACGCTTCCGCGAAGTCGCGCTGATGTTGTTGCCTAGCTTGGCTACGAAACGTCTCCGAACAACACTTCCAGCTAAGAGAACTCACCAATATCCGCATCCCGAGCTACAAATGTTCCACATCATTTGCAGTAACTAGTGATAATCGTGCATACTATGCCAGTACGAATGTGAACGCACATTGATTAGTATGTTGGCATCTTATGACATTTCTTTTTACAAATGATTTAGTCCAGTTTATTTATCTCAATAAAGTAGCCCCTATATTAACGACTCAGTATTGAGAAATCCGATAGTTGATTACGATTGATCTTTCGATTGCTCAAATATGAATACCACAATTTGGCTACACGGGTATGACGCACTCCCGTTTACGGTCCCATACAAGAGTATGAAATGGTCAGCAAATGGAGGGACGAGCAGAACCTTTTCTAATGCAGTTCAACTGGCCTCATTTGATCTCAGACATCACAGTTAGTGCCTCAACTGGGCGAATACCGCCAAGTCTCTATGTAGAATGGAGGTTTCTCGAGGAAAAGGTAACTCATTGGGTATGAGGCATCCGGCCTCGACGGGCTGTCACCATCGGCTTCTAAGGATTGCGGGTCAAACTTGGTGTCAGAGCTGACAAAATCCCTGGGTTCAGTACGCAGAGAGAACAAGTTCCAACAGACGACAGATTCTGTTGTGAAAATCACATCGGAGTTAAGTTAATCCATATCGTGTCTAATTTCATCGGGTTTGTAATACTCCCTCAATCGCACACGGGAGAATCAGTCTAGTTTTAAACCTGGGTGAGGTTTTCTGGGTCACATCTTCATCCTTCAGCAAATCTGGAACACAGACCCTTTCGTTGACCCGTCGCTTCGATATTCCTCTATCTGAAAATGGCTTCTGACTCAATTGATCACTCGACGCTGTGGGGCTGTGGCTCTGTTGCTGTCCGTGAAGGATTCAGTGTTGTTTGCAGCAGTTCGCCTGGTGTTGCTTTACGGTGGAGAGTCTTGAGCATTGCCGGAATAGGATAAAAAAGGCTGTCGGTGTTCGAACACCGCTGTCTACGCCGCAGTAAAAAGTCAGGTAGGGCAAACGGACAAGGAATACTGAGATAGGAGCAAACGTTTAGTTAATCGCAGTCGCTTATTTGGAAAAGTGTTCAACTTGTGTTTAATACTTTGCGGAATGTGTTACTCATGCCACCAAAGAGATTGATTGCAACGGCGTTCGGTGTTTGCCGATGCGGCAATAGGTGGCTGAAAGTCAAAGGTGGTCAAACTAAGATCTGGCAGGAGGGTATAATAGGTCTAACCGGTTCGCTGGGTCATGTAGGTCGCGTTAAGCTCCCTAAATGAGGGACTCGCGTTCGGTACAACATGCTTAGATACGCTGATTGTCGTCAGCTGTGGCGCTCATACATCTTATTCTGTTTTTAATCTTAATATATCTGAATTTTCGATTTTCTATTTAATACTTTTCTCAACATTCCAACGTTTTCTCTAGTTTTTCATTCAATAAGCAACCAAGAGGCGGCAAACAAAACCATCCAACGAAGATGAATGATGAACGGTTTTGAAAACCAAAACGAACCAGAGCAAAACCGATAATCTCCACACGACATGCCTCGACTGATCGGTTCAGTAGTATCAGGTGGGTATTGGTGCGGCTTTGGCTTATATGAATAGTTTCATATCACTACGTAAAAACGTTTTCATTGAATCTCTTGCTAAATCATGTCGAATTTTTCGCATATTTTCGGCGTTTCTGCCCAATGCGATTCCCTCTTCCTAGGGGTGTTGTTCATCTTAGTCAAGGAACGATCAAACAAGTATTTCACTCAAATGAAAAACCGCCTGAGTCACAGCAAGTTTCGATTTAAGTTTCCCTACATCCCTCTTTGTCCGTGTTCTTTGACGATATTGAGTTGATTGTTTTCAATTTCTCAAGGGAAGTTGTGTATTTGGATTACAAGATTCCACCCGGGATTAGGGAGGATATTTATTCAATACTCTTGAGTCTGATGATTAGTTAGCGATGCTTAATTCAAGATTTTTGGCGGTCTTGCTTTCGCTGTTCGATCACGTGGTAAATGATCTTCAGTAGCCCGTTTGTTTCCTGTTCTAATC